GATAACCAAATCTTGTATTTTATTTATTTATTTACTAATTTATTTGCATTATAAATTATGTAATGTATTACTTTTCTTATAGTTATATATAAGATTTCTTAAATTAGATGATATTTTAGATTTGTTCTTATTGTATGATAAAACAACTATAAAATATAAACGACCAATTTCAATTTCAGTATATAGTATCATAGTTAGTTAGGTTGTGTTAATTTTGGAAGAGTAAATCAAATTAATAAATGTTTGATACTTTGATGAGATACTAATTTCACTTTACATGGGAAATTATTTTTTTAATCTTATAATATGGAAGTGTTTTCTAATATTTTTAAATTATTTTGATGCAATATTGTAATATTATATTATAATTAATAATTATACAGACGTCCAAACAAGAAAACAGTAGCTTAGTATTCACCTATTTTTACAAAATAATGAAAGTACATAATGCACCACTCCTAATTTTTTAAAAAACCTAAAAGAACACTATTTTTAGAGATTTATAGTAATTTTTTGAAAAACATTGGGACGAAACTTGTCGATTTGGTCAATTCTCTGATCATCCACACCAATCCACCGATCCAACACGGTTTTTGGGGTGGACGATCCGGATCACTGATCCGACACAGTTGTTGGGGTGGACGATCCGGATCACCGATCCGACACGGTTTTTGGGGTAGACGATCCGGGTCACCGATCCGACACAGTTTTTGGGGTGGACGATCCGGGGTCACCGATCCATTTTTTTAAACCTCTATGGGATGACACTCCAAGGTTATCATGCCTTGCCTAACACACTCATGAATGGTATAATTATATTTGTTGATGCGCATCAACTTCCCACTCGATTTGTTGTTCCTTGCCATTGCAAATTGCCGCTTGATTATCACAATATATTTTGGCACCCGACTATTGTGACCCTCAAGAGGGATCTCTCTTAGCAGTTACAACAACCAAGCTGCCTCAAGCGATACCACATGCATAGCCATGTACTCAGCCTCCATAGTGGAATGTGCTATGGCTCCTGTCTCTTACTGCACAAAGAGGCAGCCCCACCACCAAGGGTGAATAGCCAAGCAGAGGTAGAAAAGATTTGTCCTTGTCTCCTCCCCAATCTGCATGGGCATACCTTCTAAAAGAAGTGCCAATCCCATAAACCACAGACCATATTCCAGGGTACCTTGCAGATGTCTCATAATACATCTAACAACATCGAAACATCCTGATGTTGCACACCTGGGCGGCTTGAATACCGGCAAGTCACACTAACTGCAAAGGCAATATCAAGTCAGATTCGAGTCAAAGTAGCACCGGCATATGGAATACCTTTCATACAGCATTTATATTCATCATCTTGCGGGCACATATTAATGGATTATTTTAGGCCTGAGACTATAAGTGTGGTCGAGGGCTTACAAACAAACACTTTGTGTTGCTTTTTGAAATTAGGTTGAGATAGCCATAATATATTGCATCCTCTATCTCGTGTAATCTTGATACCCAAGATATATTCCGCCTCACCTAGGTTCTTAACATCAAATGTAAATTTTTTTATGTAACTAAAATCTGCAAATCATTACTAGCAAATAACATCTGATCACATGAACAGCAAGCAAAAGAACAAAACCCCTGCTTATTTTCACAAACAGAGAAGGATCTGCATCACACAATTGAAATCCAAAACTCTCGGGTTTCAGAGGTAAACTTTTCATACCTTTCCACGGTGTTTGCTTCAATCCATAGAAGAACGTGAGTAACATGAACATCTTGTGCTCTGCATTTTCCTTAATGAAACTTCTGGTTCCTTTCTACATGCCTCTTCATCAAGATATTAATTCAAAACATTGTCTCCACATTGAACGTCCTCGTATTAGTTAATGGCAAGAAGGTGTCAAAGAAGTCAATTCCATGTTTCTATGATAAACCTTTTCATATTAGCCAAGCCTTATACTTACTTATCAATGCTACAATCTGGATTTAACTTTTTTTCAGAACCCACGTGCATTCAACTGGTTTTACTCCTACCAGTGAATCTACCAATTCCCAAGTTCCATTTTTTTCACAATAGAATCCATCTCCTCTTGTAAAGCTTCCCACATAGTGAGGAGACTCTATGGAAAGGGATCATGTTGGAACTCAGTAAGAAAGGAGAGGTCTGTGGGTTTCTGAAATTTGGTAGTCCTAAAAGATGGAGATATAACTAGGGAATCAGAAGGAGAAGCCGCAATCTCATTCTCAAGAAAAGAGACTAATAACCAGCTTATTGACCACCAAATCTACAAGTCTGTAAACCTAGTTCCCCTCTCATATCTATCCAATGAAAACACAACAAATGGTTTTAGAGTCCAACTTGGATCTTTGATGAAGTGGGACAATAACATGTGCTACATAACATCAAACCTTGAAGTAGATAAGGTTAGGAACCCCTCCATTTTCATAAGGTGATGTAGACAGGCTCTAGAGGGAATATGGTTAAGAACATGATTAGCAGCCAATACGGCTTCACCTTAACAAGTGCGATCAAGGCTAGACGAACTAAGTAGTAACAAACAGTTTCAACCAAGGTTCAGTTCTTACATTCAGCAAGACCATTTTGTTTGAGTATAGGGAGAGAGGTGGTTTACTGAACAATGCCATGTGCCTCACAGAAATCATCAAAGACCCTTGACATGTAATTCTTCACCCCTATCACTCCTTAGCACCTTGACCTTACTTCCCAACTCAATTTCAGTCTCAGACTTATATTCAAGAAACTTTGAGAAAGGTTTGATCTTGAGTGTTGATCTAGCTGATCCAGATCAGGAAAGGTCGGTGGGTGATCCACCTCACTGATCCATTTTTTAAAACACTAATTAAATTCTTCTACAACCACATTAGTCTCCTCAGCAACGTGAACAACTTCCTTCTTCTTGGACCTACAGTCCTGCTTGTAGTGTCCAAGTTTGCCATAACGGATGCATCAAACGTTTCTTTTTTGATGTTTCTTTCCTGCATTTGAATGAAGTGTTCTGCCTTTAGAAGTTATCAATCTTCCCTCCTTTCTCTTTCTTTTCTTCCGTAGCCATGTAAAGCAGTGATAGACCCCGGTGTGGGGCTCTTTGAGAGTTTTTCTCAATCACTTGTGAAGAATGGAGATCTTCATTATTGCCATCAGAGGTGAATGTCGAAGCTCCAGGTGGAAATCAACCCATGAAGAGGGTAATGCATTGATGATGGCAGCAACCTGTTAATCTCGGATAAGAGCTGATCGGCTGATTTCAAATCTGTTACCATGGTCTGCATAACTTCGAACCTTTCCAAAATAGGCTTTGTAAAATCCTTGTTGCGAGAGAAATGATCGGCCAGGCATAAATTTTGTAGCTAAGATAGAGAGGCAAATCTCTTCTCTTATATCTCCTGTAGTTCTTTTGCAAGTATGGTGAACTAGGGTTTCCCAGAGTAGAACCCGAGATACAACCTCCTTGATCTGAGACCAAAAAACCTTAAGAGTGTGTTCACCATTCCACTACTTAAACTTCTAGGAATTCACAATCCATCCCTAAGCCCGTGAGACACGTGTTCTCTCATGCACCATGCAAAAGACATGTCGCCTGTCTTTCAAAACCATTCATTGACTCACCCATGGGATCACCTCTTACTGGCCCAATTAGAACCTGACCTTTCTACCTTCTCCCTTTTAGAACTTGTCTTTTCGTATCTCGTCCAGTCATGGTGATGTGGCTTTTCAACATCAGTATCTCCACTTACTCATACTTTCTCCAGTCGAAACTCGACAAAAACTTCTATATGGGGTGTAAGGGCTTCTATCACATTGACAAGTCCACCACATCATCTGAAGTCAACTTGCACAATGCTCTCTATCTTTTACAGTCGAGTTTAAAGAGATTTGATATCCTCTTTGATGAAAAGCAAAGATGCACAACATCTTCTATGATCAACTTTAGCATAGATGCTTTTCAAGCCTCTTTCTTCGACAGGCAGGTGTAGGAATTGAGTGTCTTCTTATGGATCTCAAGTCTCAGTTAGTCAGACTTTCACCAAGGGAATGCATGTATCTTGTCTTCAGCCAAGGCATCTTGACCACTTACCCAAGGCCGCCCTCAAGCTTAAGAAAGTCATCAAGGGCATTCATGTCCACCCTCCAGACCAGGGTTTTAAAAAATGCCGATCTGGATCGGAATCGGCCGATCTGGATCGGAATCGGCCAATCCGGATCGGGAATCGGTGGGACCGGTCGGGTTCCCACATATATCAAGAAACGACCGGTTCTCACTAGGAGCCGGCCTATTCTGACACGAAACTGGCTGATCCAGCCCAACATTTTATTTTCCATTATTTTCAATTTTTTATTTTTGCTCTCTATGTTTTTATTTTTGATTGGCCGATTCACTTGGCCGGATCACCAATTTGGACCAGTTTTTTGGATAGGCGGTCACCAATTCGTTTTTTAAACAATGCTCCAAACATTGGCCGGATCTCTGTTTTTCATAGCCACCACGCTTGATAAGTGTACAACCAATCCTGTAGGGCCCTCTCAATCCCACTAGAATTCCAACATAAAGATGTATATGTATCAGCATATACACATGCATCGTTTACAAAATTATTTAAGACCTTGTAAGCTAGAGAGGTAATGACTTGAGTAGTTCTCTTTGTTATACAGAATATTAAAACAGAATGCAGCACAGAAACTTGCAAACTCAGATGTATTATGAAGTTACCTGATAGCCTTTGTCAATGACTTCCATACAGGCTAAGAAAGCAACAACAGTTTTGCCGCATCCAACATCTCCCTGCAAAGAATATTGTTTACCATGATCTTTTAGAACAAAAGATATGTCTTCAATGCTTGCCATAATGTAGTAAAGCAATAAGGTTATTGTTCAACTTAAAGGACAAGGAATGTTGCAAACCAAAGTACTTCAATTACGGCACTTGATTTAATATGCTATGAAGTTACTTTGCTTCGAAATTACAAAATATCAAAGTGTTCCAGATAATGGAATTGTATAAATCATAAGTTCACAACTACATGATTGCATCAATTATATCAAATGTGGACGCTACCACTAACATACATGTGGTGATGGATTGGCACTATTTGCTTTCCAAAAGTGCACACAGCAAGGATACTATGTGCATGACTCTTAATATGCAAAAAGGATTGTAAGAAGTCATAGATTTATGAACTTCTATGATTGGTTGATACAATGCAACTCAAATCGTCAATTGAAGAAACCATGTACTAAGAATTAAGCTTTCATATTACATTATCAGGTTCCCACCATTTAGAAGTCAGATTCAGAACGCAACACAGCCTGATCTCTAGCCAGCTTGACCAGCACAATCCCAGGACTCTGGAAGACTCGAGAGTTTTTTAAAAGATTGAAATTTACTTTAGAATTTCTGACTCCTGGATTTTTAAAAGTTAAAAATAAAAGATTAAAAAACAAAAACAAAAAAAAAAGGAAAAAGGGAAAAGGCAGAACCGAATCAACAAGGGTGAGAACCAAGCCTTTTAACCAGAGATTTTAAGCATTGATTAACACACACATGCCCAACTAGGTTGAATTTAGTACTGCTATAAGATAAACAACAAATAGCTCCAACCCATAAGGCAATTTCATTAAGATTATACCTGTAAAAGACGGCTCATGGGTACAGACCTCCTTAAATCCCATATAATTTCTGAAACTGCATTCAATTGACTTGGAGTAAGTGCATATGGAAGAGCCTTGTATATTTTCCTTGTCAAATCAGACCATTCTTCAGAGTTGAGCAAACAGGATCCATTTTTTTTGTATCTTTCCAATAAACTAGATTTTTCCGCCCATGTCCCAAGTTTTTCAAGCATTTGAAACATTCTCCCCAACTGTAAAACAGTACAAGAATATAGAAATTGATTAGTAAACTATACACAATTCCTTTTATGTTATGTTTCACATATCACATTAGCTCATACACATGTACACAATCACATTATCAACTATAAAACTTTGCGTAATAAGCGCCAATCTATCAGTTACATTGTAGTGTATAGTGAAAGTATGAGGTATCATGCTTTCCTATTAATGTGAAAAGCATGAAATATCATGCCTCAATAGACTAAAAAGGTACATATCCTTAGAAGAGTACACAAAATACCTCATTACCTAAAAATTAGTTGTTTTCTTCAAGATTGATGCAGGAATTTACTTACACAAACAATCAGCTCATAGTTTACTTGACTGATTAACTAAGATTCAAATCCTGAGAGGGCAACAAGAAGAGGAACTCAACCACTTCCAAATGCCTAAGTTAGAGTTGAGGCGCCTTACAAATCTGTTTTCTCCATTTGTGGATGCCTCTCTCTAGGGCAGGAATTTGCCCACCAGGGAGTCTTGAAGGAAGACATTTCTCTCCCACTACTACATCTTTCTCAACCTGCTGTACCAGGAGTAGAAGGTTGGCAGTACAGAGAGGCTAGGGGGCTGATTTTTCCTGTATGTGCCATGTTGAAACTCTGGTCATGGTGAGGTCCTACGGCATTAAGATTTTCCGGCTCCACAAGTTTTGTATCTGATTTGGAATCTTTGTGGCTTTATCTTTTCCAGGGCAGAAGCGGAGTGGCGAGGGGACCTCCCTCTCTCAAGAGAGGGATGAAGATGAAATTTCCTATTTCATTTGGGTTTAGATTGCCTGTCACCAAACCACAGAGAAGGGGAGGTGGGGGTGGGCTGGGCAAGGAGAATGAGAAGAGGGGAGGGGGAGAAGCTTCTTGATAAAGTGAAGTTCAATGATCTAAAATTCAAGATTACATCTAGCAAGGCTATGGCACTCAATCACATGGTTCCAATGTGTACTTGAGTCTTCCCCACATAGTGTGATTGCTGATGTAGGTGTGCATGTTTAGGTCATGTCTCATCATCGACAAAGCCCTTTCCCAACTAATTGGGGTCGGCTACACGAATCGTGGTCCGTCATTCTGCTCTATTGGGGGCCATATATCTAGTGAGGCCATAAGTCCCCATATTTATACATAGATAGTAGTTAGGGATGAGTAATTCATTACGTTTTATTTTTCAATCAATCAGCTAATGAGAATCGGTATCTTTCTCCTTCAGTGCTCTAGGGTCTTGGGGGTCAAACATGGTATCAGAGCCAATTTTACAGGAGGAATCCAAACCCCAATTTTTTATTTGAAGTGCTTATCCACACCAGTTTACTTTTTTTTGGTTTTTTGTGTGTATTTGTATGTGTTCACATTTCATAAGAAAAAGGTCTCTTGGAGGAGTAGGAAACAAAACATATTCTCTAAGTCCAGTACAGACTGCAGGGTTGGAATATAGAGTATGCTCTTCGCCTCTAATAGTGTGCTTGCATATGTTGTTGGCCGACCTGGGCATCCACATATATTCATCTCTCTCCACATGGTGTTAACATTGAGTAGCAAAAAAGTCAAATATTCATTCAAAAAAACATTGAGAAGCAATAATCAAAAAACATGGTGATAATTAGTGCTTATCAAGATTGTCAACGACCCAGTTTTCATGAAAAGCTGGAGCATATTGGGTTTGATTGACACTTCATTTTGAGAGCAACTTTTCAATGGTATTAGTTCTTTCCCATGACATACATTTGAGGATGAAAATGTAGAACTGATTATTAAGTCAGTTACCAAATTATACTAAAAGTAAACCATAACTTATCACAGTGGATGCCATAATTTGGAGGGGAGGTACTGATATCAGTATTGCACAGACGTTCCTTTCTTTGTTTACTTTTTAAAAGTACCAGTTGCACCATTATCTCCGCAACTATAGTATGCCTTCTCGATCAACCCAAAAATGATGAGAAGTTGGGTCAAGTTGACTTGAGACTCAAGAATTCAATTTCCACCAAAAAATTGTAAGATAATTGGAAATTATTTAAAAATTAAAAAGCTTGTCTTGACAAAACAATCAAGTTAAATTTAACATATTAAATAAATGGTCCCAGAAGAAAAATAAAATAGAACTCCAAGCTATATGAGAGTGAACGATAGGCTACTTTTAAGACTTTATAGCAAAATTTCTGAGATTCATGAAAACTATCAGGTGCAATATTTGTAGAACTTTCTAGACTTGGTCGACTTCGCTAATGTTCTGAGCAATTAGGATGAGTATGATACTCTAGTTTGTAAAAACAAATTCTGCATTCTTTGCTGTAAAGAGACATGGATCATTGCTAGTGGCCTAGTGCATATTTGGAATGAAGAATGCAGTTAGATGAACTTTAGTTGTTAAATGCCCTTTGAAATGTCAGAAACCACCAGCAGTTTTTAGTTTTCTTTGAACTTAAGAGAACAAAACATGGATTCAACCTCAGTCATGTGACGCAATCAAGTACTTAGAGTCCACAAAAGAATTGGGGAGTCAATGAAATCTTCAATCCGTATTATCATGGCAGGGTCCCACATGAGACTCAACAGGACACCTTATCAATGATTCCTATCAACAAGATCTTTCAAAACTTGAAATCAGGAAACTATGCTCGCAAAGCATTCATAAAGTGACCATTTGTCGACAAAATAACACTTGATTTCAATTCACCCAAGAAGAAATCAGGCCTTCCAATTATGGATTGAAGCTTTTCAAAATTTCAAGCATACAAGAATATTATTAACCCATGCTTTAGAATTTACCACAAGCGAGGCTTAAAACAGTTATCGTATTAACAAAGCATCGGCAATAGACTTCAAGAGCACAAAACCCAGTCTAAAACCAACAAATGAAAAATATTCAAATAAAAGGAAAATAGTGCCACTTTTCCTAAGCTACACATTGTTGCACGAAGCAAAAATGAACCTCAAGGCAATACAACCAGATTTAAATGGAAATGGAAACCAAGCCTGAATTACAATTTATTGATGAATTGATGATAAGTATGAAGTTTAGCAAAGTTCACCCACCTGAAGATAAAAAAATTCATCAAATACAAGTCGTTTTCGTGCCAAGTCAGCTTCTTTCAGATCTTTTGGACAGTGGATTCCCATATAGGCCTGCCTGACAGAACATTGTCAGTACATCACGATTCGATATAACCCCATCATGCTGGTAATAAAAATGATTACTTTCAAACAAAATTTCGTATAAGTCTTAGTTGCACAAATTCATGAATCAGAAGGCTTGAATCTCAACCCAGCACTTGAGAAGAAGCAAAGAAATCCCACGTCCAATATGGATTGGAAGATGTCAGCTAGAGTGCACAAAGAAGGCTTGGACGAGGAGAATGTTAAAATTCTTAAGAATTCATTGCATTATAAGATCTTAAAGTATTATCAAGCCTAATAATGAGAATTCGGATTTAAGTATGGTGCACTGAATAATGAGTTTGAAAGACCCTTTAGATTGGAATATGTAAGGATCTATTTTGTATAAGCTGTGCATCACCAAATTTGGATGGATCTCACCAGCTTTCTTCTCCTTTTTGGTTGAAGCTTTCCTTTCTGAAATCCAGCGTAATAAAATTATTTAAAGGGAATGAATTCATTAAATGTTAACCTAATTTCTGAAAGGAGGTGGAGGATTTAAAAGATTACCAAAGCATAAGCAAGATCCACCAGAAAGAAGAAAAATGAATACTATGACCCTATAACCATAAACTTAATCAACAGCCGTTGTAAATTATTCTCAAGGCTCTTCTAGCAAATTAAAAGCAAAGCAGATTCTGGAGAACCACTTTCCCAAAAGTTGTGCATTAAATACATCGACCTAGAAGCTTGGTACAATTTAAAAAAACAAAGCAAGAGGCATGAGATGAGAGTGATGGTAAGTGAACTAGACGCCATGCATAAATCGAAAGGCATGTCTTTTATTATGTCTCAGTACTGAGGTCCTTTTATCGAGGGATACATATTGTGGAGAGAGGAAAATAATCTCCTAAGAGCTCAGGAATCAAGAACCATGTAAATTTCTAAAATCAAGTAGACTGGGATTTCTTACACTAATTGATGAGGATAATGAGGTAGATATTGATAGATGAGATGGTCTAGGAGCTGCATTCTATGCCTAGTTTCTTCATCATGATATATAGGGTCCGTAGAGGTTATTTTTCTATCAAAGGGATCGTATTTTATCATTTCCTTTTTCATACTATAGCCGTGAGATGGTCGAAGAGCTGCATTTCTATATCTAGTTTCTTCATCATGATATATAGGGTCAACAAAGAAATCCTATTTTATCATTTTCTTTTTCATGCCATAGCCGTATGTCAGTTCCAAGGTTTACAAAAAACAGATCGGTGACTCGAATCGGTCACACCCATACCCGTGTCGGATTGGAGAATCGGTGGATCGGATCGGAGAATCGGCAGAATCGACAATTTTTGTCCCAAAATTTTTTCAAAAAATCACTATAATTCTCTAAAAATAGTGTCCTTTTATTTTCTAAAAGAGATTATGAGTGGTGCATTATGTATTTTCATTACTTTGTAAAAATAGGTGAATACTGAGACGCTATTTTCCTGTCTGGAAGTCTATATAATTATTATTTATAATATAGTATTACAAAATTGCATCAAATTGATCGAAAATATTAGAAAACACATCCATATTATAAGATTAAAAAAATAATTTCCCATATAAAGTGAAATTAGCATCACATCAAACATTTATTATTCTCTTTATTCGTTCAAAACTATCACAACCTAATGAACTGTAATATTATACATTGAAATTTAAATTATTGGTTTATATTTTATAATCATTTTACTATATAAATAAGAATAAATTTGAATTTGTCTTATAATATCATCTAATTTAAAAATATAACTTACAACTATAACAAAAAACAATACATTATATAATTTATAATATAAATATATTAATAAATAATATATAAAATTTGATTATCAATGTAATTAGTATAATTTTAATGTGATCATATTCACATAATTAAATTTCATAGTAAAGGGCCAACTATTAAATTAAGGGAAAAGTTTAAATAGAGTTGAGGCTCTAAACAATCAAATTTGAGCCTACCTCAAAAAATTTACTAGAAGTTGTTTTGATGCCCAAATAAATTGATCATCTCTACATCAAAATGCATAGACATGAAAAAAAAAAAAAAGGATTTCAAGTTTTGAAAATAGTGTATTTTGTAAAGCATTTTTGGACCGTCAATTTTCAAGATTTTCAAGTTTTCATAGATCTATCGATCTACACTATATTTGAAGTTTTAAACTTTATAACTAAAGACGAAAATATATTTTAAGGCTATCACAAAGATTTTCAGTATTGAAACCACATGTCTCGATACTATTTGAAGGTAGGCTCTAATTTGATTGTTTAGAACCTAGGCTCTATACAAACCACACCCTTAAATTAATCATATGGAATTTCTTAGTAGAGGGCCAACCTTTTTCATGTCTAATCTAATTGTTATAAATTAATTATATGGAATTTCGTTTTGTAATTATATGTAAACTTACATGTGTACTTTTATTTTTTGTGAGTCGTAAAAATAATATTATTAATTTAAAAAAGAAAAGTAAATTTTATTTTATAAACTATTTCATTTTGTAGACCTTGTATAAAAAAGAGAGAGATAGAGACGTTAACTTAGATGTAAAAGTAAGAAAGAGATGAGACATTAATGGAGATGCAAAGTAAGAGAGACAGATAGATACTTAAATGAGATGTAAAAATAAGAGAGAGATGACACATTAATGGAGACGTAACTAAGACAAAGAGACATTAATGGAGAGGTAAAAACTAAGAGAGAGGGAGATATTAACGGAGATGTAAAGGCACAAAAAGCAAAAGTTAATGGGACAAAATTAGTCCCACATCGAAGGTTGTACAAGAAGTTTACTTCCATAAAACCCTCTATATTACACGTATAGCATGCGCGTAGGGTCTATTTAAGACTGAACCTTGCTGCTGCCCCTAATTTTAGGGAAAATTTCAAATATGCCCCCATTTCATTTCAAATAGTAAAAAAAGGAGTTAAAAAAGCATGACGTCGAGATGACATCATAATCAGCGATTCCCTTTAGTGAATGGTGGATCCATGACGTCATCTACCAAATTTCAATTAAAAATCGTCCGGATCCCGTTTTATGGTCGGATCCAAAACGTTCCCACCGATATCCGACCCAGATCGCCCAATTCCGGATCGAGTCACCGATTTTTTAAACACTGGTCAGTTCCTTAGTAGGCCCATGGATGTTAGTCAGTTCCTTAGTAGGCCCATGGATGTTGGGCTCATTGAAAGTTTTGTAGCCCTGGGCGGGATCGACCAGGTGACTCATTTACATTACAGAGATGCTACCATTGTTCTTGACTTCTTGGGGCTACAAGTACCGACTGTGCCTTGGCCTGAAATTTGTGATATAAAGTTTGGAGAGGCTATAGGAAAAACATCAATCTAAGATGACCATTGTGCTTGGGTTTGAAGCTAGATAATAGGAGAAAAGAAAAGGAGATCATCAACCACTAGGGAAGCCCAATAGGGGGTCAAAGATTCTCCAAGAACAAAGGTGCAGGCTGATGGATGGATTCCGATATTATACAAGGAGCTTCAAAAGGCTTTAATTACAAAAAGGGTTTTTTGGGCAATGAAGTTATAGGCAGGTCTTTTGGGCAATGAAGTTATTTTAAAGAGATCAGAGGCCTAATAGATGTAAGGCAGTAAGGGTAAGCCATGCACCCAAATGTAAATTTTGGGTAACAGGTTAGTGAATTTGGGTGGGGATGGGGATGGTCTAGGATCCCAGCCTCCATTCCAAGGGACTGTTTGGATGGTTGTTTTATGTTCTCTTATTTTACTTTACCATTTTTGTTCGAAAAAATAAAAAATAAGAACAAAAATGATTTCCAACGTTGCTAATTCAAAGTTGTGGTAAAAAGAGGGAATGTTATGATAAAACTAATAAATAAAATAAGGAAGCCACAAAAATTTTCTTCATGAACTGAACATTAAAACAAATTGCTTGAAAAAGTGGAATAACAAAATATTCCAGAACAATAAATCGAACCCACGCAAAGCAACTTACATCGTGAAGATTAAACAAATCAAAGTCTGCACATATATTACTTGGGATGGGATCCATATCTGTTGGCAAGGCTTGCAAAGCCCTGTCAAAATCAAAACAGAACGCAATAAATCTTTATGAATTGTACTAAACCAATACCATCCTCTTATTGCAGCTAACATATATAATATTTATAAAAATATAAAGAAATATACATGGATTCAAAAGAGAAAAGGGGACCAACTGCTTGCATAAAAATATTAATCATGCTATACTGAGATAAAAATAGAAGGCAAGAAACCATAACATCAAAAATCCAATAGACAAATGTATAGGAGTACCAACCTCAATATAATATCTCTAAGAAAATTGGAGTTCAAGCCACCTTTGGAGGGGTATATGGGATAAGGCCTTATTTCTTCTTCTAGTCCATTCATTTTATCCATTGCATTTTCTTGAAGCACATCAATATGAAATTCCTTCAATTCAAAATGATCTTCTGCCTTCATTGCTTTGACCTACGTGAAAGAATAAATTATGTGCAGCCAATCACTAAATTAGATAAATCAATTTTAACATCTTCCAGTATAAACAATGGTTTTCTTTTAAACTTCTGCCCTTTATTGCATTTAGGCCACAAATTATAATAATATCGTTAACCTTTTTTATTGGTGCTCTCATATAAATGAATTAAGATGGATTCTTTTCATGTTCCTATAACAAATTTGTCATGTCAATGTGCCACCTTATCCTTATGCATGCTCATGCACATAACGGAACAATGATACCCAATATAAAATTTTTCAGACATGCATCCCAAAGTACAGGAACATGCTTATGCATACAAATAACAAACAAAAGTCTCCACCCTTAGTCCTTTAATCTCTTCGACACATACACACATGCACCCACACATACACGAACAAAGGTCAAATGGAGAAGCACGTGTTTACTTGTATTGAAAATACTAAAAAATGTCTCCCAGCCAAACCTTGGCCCTTGAAAGCCATCAGCTTCCTAAAATATATAAAAATAACAGGCAGGTCTGGATGGCATCCCAAAATGTGTGCCACATGCATTTTGGCCGCATTTTAGGTGATACTGAGATATTGTGCCAGTGGCTTCTTTGGAAACCATTTTTTATGCCCTTTTGGAAGAGCATACACAAGGGGGAAAAAAATAAATTACTGGTTTTAACCTTAAATGCAAAAGTGCTGCTTTTTTATGGAGCAAAACTGAATCTGACACAAACAGCAACAAAACAAGCGATAAGTATCTGACTCAAATCAGGTATTTTTGTATTGTTAAAAAAAACTACGATAACCAGTCAAATTCTATAAGAAAGGACTAAATTCCAATAACGATACACTTAAAAAATAATTTTTATAAAATCAAATCAAAATTACTAAATTCCAATAATGGTACACTTAAAAATAACTTTTTATAAAATAAAATCAAAATTTAATTGCTTCCAAAACATGATTCTGAAACAAACAGGATCGCAACTCTGAGAAATAAAACCATAACTAGAAGGACATGCACCTCCATATATTATGGAATGCAACCCTTGTGCTCTAGGCAGAGGTGGTCAAGGTGGCGGGTGCCATAATGTGACGTCCAAAGTTCCATAACCACCAAGTCCCACGTTAACATGGGGGGAAAAAAGACCTTAGGGCCATGCGCTCAAGTTTTAGAAGCACTGTCCCAACCCTATTTACAAGATTCCTACAACTAAAAGAGAAGAAGTCTCATCCTTTTGATGTATTTGCCATCAGGCATATAGATATCTATATCATCATTATCCAAGCCTTATACAACTATTTGGGGTCAGCTAAATGAATCTTGTTGCGCTACTCCGCTCTATCAAGAGTTATACCCTCAGTCACACCATAAGTCACCATATTTTTCCTCACTACTTCCATCCATGTCCTTTGGGGCCTTCCCTTTGCCCTTTTAGAGCCTTCCACTTAAACTAAATCACCCTTCCTAACTGTTGTTGGTCTAGGTCAACAATACACATGACTAAACCACCTAAGTTCATTTTCCCTCATTTTATTGTCTATTAGAGCTACCACAAAGTTCCGTGAATGTATTCATTCTGAATTCTATCCTTCCTTGTCTTGCCATTCATCAACAAAAAAAAATATATATATTCAAAAGTATAGATATCTATATAACCACAAAAAGGCCCATATACTAGAAAGCATTCAGAAGTAAAAAATTGATGTAGCAGTAAATTTATAAAATGGGGTAATTACACCTAAGAGAAATTAGATAATTTAAATATCTACACAAACAACATCCAAATGTGAATTTTAATTCAAAAAAATCCAATGTTCCAATACATGGTATAGGACCCACCTTACCACTAACAGAGACAATATCCCCTTCCTTATGCTTTGATTGAATGCCTCTAAGAAAGGGCTGGCTTGTAAAACGAACACCACGAAAGAACTTCTTCAAATGCAAATAAACCATTCTTTTGTTTAACGTATCATGATCATCTACTTTAATCTCAGAAGCTTCTTCATGATTACAAACTTCACAGCCCACAAGAACCTCGATAATTGAAAGAGAAGCACCAGCCCTTACTCCTCTGTGACAACCAAGACAAACCCACGCAAATTGTAATCAATTAAACAGTATATTTCAAATTAGCAATTAGAAAAGGTCATATCACACATTAAAAAGGATTTCAAATTAGCAATTAGAAAAGGTCATATCACACTCATTATATTGAATTCGTGCAATAAAAAGTGACTAGATAATTCATATAGCCAACATCAGCAAAAAGTACATCATACATCTTCATGTAGATATCACATATGCAATTCAAAATCAAAACTCATAATCAGTTAGAGCCCAGTTTGGTTAACTTGGCCCCTGGCTCCTTCCTTTAGGTGCCCAGAAAGGAAGCACAGCAGGAACTAGTTCCTCTTCCAGCTAAACCAGTCAATGGATCACTCCAACAGACCAGTAAGCCTGCCCAAAGCCAGTCATCCATACAGGCATTTTTTCATGTTTAAAGATGACAAATTTTTATAAAATGTGCTTCCCCCGAAAATGTAAATAAAAAATAAAAAAATAAAAAAACAGAGAATAGGCAGTCAAAGGGCACTGAATTGAATTCATTCATTTGCCCATAGATTTAGAATATGATGGTCACCATCTCAGTAACATGTAAACTAACATACAATCTCTTCTTGGAATGTACATGGTAAACCATAGTACTGAAGCCAAATCAAATAAAAATTTTTGTTTCTGGAAGTTACCAATATCTGAATAGAATTTCATCTCAGCCAACTCAATGTCCATCCTAGTATAAAACACATTGAGTTCACACTGATAAACAAGACGTGACAATGTTATTCCAAAGCCATCATTCTAGTGAACAAAGTCGTGAACCTTTCGGTCTAGTGTGCTACTCTCTGTTTCTTTTTTTTTTTAATTGTTCCCCTGAGGATCTGATCCAACTCTCACTTGCTATCCCACAAGCTAACCTTCCAAAATGGTATTTAGAAAGCAAATCAGATCTACAGGTTCACATAATCGTGAAGAGAAATTTTGCACCAAAATGTGCAGCCTGTCAATCAATTGAGAAATTACTCATTAAATATTGCAAGTTAACTAACTAACCTAGAGAGTAAAACTTTCCCAACAAAATTCAAGTACTGCCCATCCTGAATTACACCACGAGCATTATATAAATCAGCATACACCCGAGGAAAATGGTGGAGCAGTTTCCTCATCTACAGTAAAACAGCAAAAAAACAAGATTAAAAATCAATCATCCTTCGAATTGATGAAAGAAGTTCCAAAGTACGTGTAGAACAAGTCAAGGGGACAAGAGAAGAACGTAAATTGAAACCGTGTATTATAACTCTATCTACAATAGAATGAAATACAATATCAGCAGCAAGATTCATAGCAGCTCTACCAGTTCACAAATGTCCAAGCATTCATTCTAGCATCTTGCAATATGACCAGCAAGAGTAACGAACCAAAAACATGAAAATATATCCATGAACCCCCATGCAACAACCTACCGTGTGGAAACCATTCTTTTCTAGCTTACGACAAAGCCCTTTGCTTAAACTGGGCATAGAAGTAATGGGTTTATCAAGAAGGCACTCAATAGAAGGTGCCATAGTTTCTTCTAGATGGTACTCAGCACCTGGATGGAAGTCCTCAGTTGCAACATTTGCATTGCATTCGGGCATATCTGTCATGTTCTGTGAAGACAGTTGTGTCTTGTTCCTGTCATCAAACTTTTCTTCAGGCTCTGTACGTAGAGAATGAGAGGTTTCTACAGATGGCAAAAGTGTTTCTTCATCAATCAACACAGACGTACTTCTAGCTGAAAGAGAACTATTTAATCCATGCCATGTGTCAATCAGCTCAGTTGGTGCCATCCAATCTTCTCGCATAGAATTTGAAAGGTATTCTTTGCAGGTTCCAGGCAGTAATAAGTCCACCTTCCCAGGGCCACGTGCAATTTCATCATACAATTCAACAACTGAAGCACTACCCAACTTAATCGACGGGAAGTTTTTACAAGCCACTGACATGTCAAAGTCTTTCATCAAATTCAAGTCTGCAGCAGATTCTCTCCGAGCTCTTTCATGCTCCATTAGATCACGGACACTATTATAACCCATAAAAACAGATACCTGCAAGCGAGACAAGTGTCCTCATTTCATGAACGACCTCATGTAGAAGTACTTTAATGAATAGAAAGTATGCTACATAATTACTCCACTTAAATTCTCATACCGGTAGCAACAGGGTGCAAGCTACAAAAAAAAGGGAATGCAGATGACAACTGAACAAATGCAGCAGGCAACAACATAATGGCCCTAAGTATAAACTAAGTAGCACATAAATGGTGGATTGCATCACATCACATCTTAGCAATGTATTACTATAGTGAGCAGAATAGACTATCACAATCACTTGGGCTGTTAATAAATAGGTAAGTTCACTGAGATGATATTGGCCTTTCAGAATACAGAGTTAGTGAAATATTATTCATCAATAGTAGTCCTATGTGCTCATCCATCCGATCGTGTAATCTCAAACCATCTTCACCATACAAGAGGAAATTGCAGGCCTAATGCTTTTTGAGATAAAATGTAGTAAGAAGGACTGAGTGCTAAATTGAGACCTTGAGCTCAGCATTTTATAAACCACCAAAGCCCTATCCCAAAAACTTACAAAAGCACAGCAGCTTTTTTTATTGAAACAGATAAGGCAATATAGATAATTTTTCAATGAACACCCATTTTTTAAGCCACCACCTGAAACAAGGGCCACTATTGGCATCCAGGGTTTCAGGTAGCAACATAAAAAAGATCAGTGGTAGTACTACCCCCTTATGAATCAAGTGGATCATTGCCTTCATATACAATTCTGATGCAGACGGTTCATGCAAGCAAAATAAAGGTACTGTAAATACATCCCTCAATGGTATTAACTTTCTACATTCCACTAATGAGAAATGCCATACTCTGCTGCAAGGAATACTATACTGGCAGAAAGTAGAAAGGAAATATGGTTCTGGCTACTGAATAAATGGAAATATGAAGAAGGCCACAAATGTGCAAAAGAAGTACAGGAAGACATAAGGAAAAGAGCTCCAAATACATATCAAAGGACATGTCCTACCTTATTGAGCAAGTCCGTCCGATCAAACATGCTTGACGTGCCATACTTGTCAGCTTCCCCCAAAAGTTTTTTAGCAGACTTGTGATTTGAACGAGTACATATCTTCAAAAGCTTCGAGAAAAGGAATTTACTAAACCTGTGAAAAAAGGATGGAAGAACAAAACCAAATCTCTAAGTGAGTGAATTGATATGAGGAAAAACTAAAGAGCATAGGCAAAAAATAATTTACCTCATACTTCCGCCAATAGCATTTCGATAACCTCTTTGGACTTCATAATATATGGCACTAGCCAAGTGTTTATCATTGAAAACCTGGCACACAAAAAAAACAATGATTTAAATCAGAAAACCACAGAATATTGATAAACAATTGAAAAAATAAAAACACATTAGATATAACCACGATAAACACATGCAAGGGTGCAGCAACCATGTGTGTGTGCGTGTACACACAACTATTCACGTCAGCATTTAGGCATCCATATAAACATACATAAGGGAAAAGATTCTGTAAACCAACAGGTTATAGCTATAGTATAAGGCGAGCTCCAAAATGCATAGCTAGAGGGATTATTTTGGGCCAAAGCTTGCACATCAACTTTGATTTCAAAAATCAACAATCACAAGAAAATAGCTTTTGATGAAACAATCACCAAGATGAGACCTATATGTATGCATAATTCAGGGTTCAACAGAGTTCTCAAAGTGGCTTAAGCTACCATATAATCCTGATA